TAGCCAAAGTTATGGCCAAAATACTTAAACATACTCAAAACGACCCCAATGAAGAATGAAGAACATGTCACAATCAATTCCCGCCTTTGCGCTGATCTGTCAATTCATGGTATCTCAACGCCATCAAGGTGCAATCTGACAGCTCAACATCATCTGTCTCGGATCCCCTGCATCATCTTTCGACCATTTATTTGCTGTCTTGTCTTTGTTTTGTATTTTTTTTAATTAATCCACTCTCTGTTTCTGGATTCGTCGGTGCCGGACCGGAACCCACAACGTTTCAGACACCGCTCGCCAACAGACGCTAGTATATTAGTACATTGTACAATAACTTTTCTAATTTCTATTATCTAATTGATATTCTTGTCGTGACTGTGAGCAAGGATGGGACAAGTCCGTTTTTTAATTATATTTAATACATTTGTGATATTTAAAATTATATATAGATCATATGATACCGTTTTATTAAAATAAAAATATTATTAAAAAAATACTGAAGCGTTGCTACCGTAAAACATTAATATTTAAGTCTCCCATTGATTCCTTTAAAACAAGTCCCACCTTAGAGTAGACCCCAGTCAAGATGTAGAAACAATTGCAAATATTAGATAAAGAAAAGGTTAGAATCTAAAATCTAAAGAAATAAGTGTTGAAAGATAGATAAGCTGTTGCGCTAGTTTGGTCATTAGTTGAAGTTGGTTTGGTACTTAATTTTGCTACTTAATTGCAGTTTGTTGGGTCATATAAGCAATTGGCTTTCGGGCTATGTATACAACATCATCGTAATGGGGTTTAGAATAGAATCCAATCAGAATTTCAATAAAAATATCATAGTTGATTTCTTTTCTTCTCTTTTTTCGGTAGACAGTAACTGTAGCTAGCCTCTATCCCTTCTACACACTCCGTTCCCTTCCCCCTTTCACACTCAACTCCGACCACCATTTTCCCAATGAGAAGCAGGAGAATCATCTTTGGACACTGCAATGACTGACTGAAATCAGGCAAACTATATTATTTTAGCAGCTGAATCCATTCCTTTATTTCTTTTAGGGTTTTCCTGAATATAATCATTTTTCATATTACACGCAGAGATCGGATTCTGAAAACAAGTCGAATTCATACAACAAAGAAGCTACAAGCTGCGCTATTTCAAATTCTCTTCTGCGCCTGTAGCAGGCGGAGCAGCCCGAAATTACATTAGTTCAAATATAAACTACTACAATTTTTTTAATTATCAAACCTTAAAAGGTTGGATAATTAAAAAAGCACAACTGCTGCATCTAAGCCAACAATCCACTTATCAAAAGACGCTAAAGTTTTGCGTAAAGCTCCAACTCAAACATAACTAAAAAAATTCTGAATCAAACTGAAAACCTATATAACTTTGAAATTTCTGATAAAATATTATAATAAAATTTCGATAAAATTTTCTTTGATTAATAGACCATGAAATAAGCCAAATTGATTTTTTTTTTTTAAAGAAACAGCCAAAGCATAACGATACGGAGCCTTACAAAACAAAAAAAACCAATGGAGTGGGCAAGAGATCAAAAAATAATTATAATCAGACTGGCCATAAAATAATTGGTACAAGCAATCACAAGAAGACTAGGATACTAAGCCACACGTATTAGAGAGTTCAAAGCGAACAAATACGTAAAAAAATTCTCAACACATTTCAACTAGCAGACCACCAGACAAGGGTCCTATCATACCAAATAGACCAGACCCAAAAAAAAAAAAAGATTCTCCACACCAATCATTCATGGTATGAAGTGAAAAATGTAAAAAAAAAAAATTAAAAAAAAAACCCACCAAAACTGCTAACCCATGGAAGATGCCAACCTCCCTGGACGCTGCAGGTCAATCTTTGGAGAATATAACACTTAAAAACGCATTAAATTCATCTCAGAAGGCACTGATGTCTACTCTAGCATTTGCAGCAATGTTCGAGTCTGGAATGAAGAAAAATCAGTTTGCTACTAGAGCTTCAGTTCATAGTGAAACGGGGGATAGCAAATCTGGTGGAGGACCGAAAACTGACACAGCAAAAACTTCAAAGCTTTTGGACATTTTTGTCTAGTATTGGCAGCAAAATAAAGCAGAAGTGATGACCGATTTTATAATGGTTAATATGGCAGAAGCATTTGGAAATGGGTTTTTACTTTTGGAGTTATGTAGGTGATGGATATCTATCAAATTATGAGAATTGATTAAAACTGCAAAGATAGATGTCTGGTTAGTCTTATTTGTATATCTACCATCATGGACATTCATTTCAGTTATATTCACCACCAGCCAAGCAGGTGAAACATTTAATAAATTTTATTAGTTTCTGTTGTGAGTTAACAGGGCTGAGGCCAACTGTTGTGCATGATAATCCTTGGCATCAGCAGGTGACTGATGTAGGTGAAATTCTTTATTTGCTCTAGAAATTTATGAGTGCAATATTCTTACCCCATATTCTAAAATCAGGCTGCTGATAATGTTGCTAGGTACTCTATCCAGCTATTGAACGAGCGTAATTTTGATGTAAAGCAGTTCAAGAATCTCAATTTTTTTTTTTTATCTGTGGTTGAGTAAAATATCTACCGTGAGCACTTATCTCATATGGAGTGAACCAACCAGTTCATTCTGAAGGAAAACCATGAAAGTTGCAGATTTTCAGTTGGGATATCTTATCAGTGATCATTCTTGTTAAATCTCCATAGCATTTAATTTACATGAGAAAGATTGATCTTTTCGTTTTCTGGTTTGATTTTATTGTTGGCCATAAGCAAGTGGTGTGCAGGTTCTCTGGACCTTTGCAATTTCTGAGTACCAGCTGGAACCGAAAGAAGTCTCATTTATGATCTTGAGAGAACAGATCTCGTACATTTCAGATTTTGAATGCTAATAAATTCTAGAGTTGGATGTGAAGAAAATGGTTAAATACTTAAATGTTTGCATGTTAGAGTTGTCTATGGTTCAGGAACCAAAAATTAAGTTCGGTCTCTGCCATTTAGAAGGTACTTAGTTTTGAATCATTTTCAGCTCAGTGAATGTGAATGATTCCAAATATTGGTGCGTAAAATGCATGGGTTAGGAATGATTCTAATTTGGATTTCTCATGCCAAGTTTTGATCAAGTTTTTCTTTTTAGCTTTTTTTTAATAAAATTTAGTTTGATCTAATTCGATGTTTGACCAGGTCTGTCTTCTAGGGGAGCCCATTGTTTTCTAATTTGAATAAAAATATTGTTACTTTAGGTTAGGCCAGGACCGGGGAAGCCTTGTTCTTGATGTACGAGTCTGAAACGAGGTTCTTAAGCTTAATTACATTGAACCTGATTATATTTGGATGTTGTTGTTTTCAATCAAAGATTATCGAGTTGTTAGCGTTTGACCTAACAATCCTTTCACATTCGATTGTGTATTTGGTTTAATCTTCTTGGATTTGGCAGGTTGCCGTAACTCCTTGGGCGTTATCATCAAACGATCAATCAATGATTGGAACCAAGGTTTCAAACTGGATTACGGTTGCACTTGAGCGGAAAGAAATGAAGCCCAAGCTTTCTTCTTCCACCATTTCCAGGTCGTTATTATTATTATTATTATTTTTGTTTGTATTCCATAACGATTCCTTAAAAGGAAATATCCCGTTTTTTTACCATATCAAGCATGATGCAGCGACTGTAGATGATTGTTTTCGGCCATTAAAATGTCACGCGGACATATTTTACTCAAGTAACGATATGTGCAACCAACAGCGACTGTTCTCGACAACAGTGCTTTTTAAAGCATATTAATTTGTGTATATTCAAATGTGTATTAGATGAATACGGGGACAGCTACCGAAGAATTGAGAGATGTTTATGCCTTCTGTTTGTTTGTACCTCGGTAATTAATTAGGAATGACAAACTCTGCGATTTTGTTTAAAATGATTTTATTTTATTTTTTTGAAAAAAAAAATTTAAATCAAAAGTTTAGGTAAAACCTTTCTTTACTTGGTACCTTTATCAAAATATATCAAATTAAAATTTTAATTTTGGAACTTCAATTATGAATTTATGATCGGAAGCTTAAAAATGGTCCCGTCCCACATATTGGCATCCTAATCATGTTGTCATTGCGGTAAAAATTGCTTCCAAGGCAACTCAAACACAGGAAAGGTGGGAGTGTAGATTGCCTAGTCGGTCTGATTATCCATCTGCCACTCGTTTTTCGTTTTAGTTACTCTTATCAATCTATAACATAATTACATAAATAAACTCTAAAATTCAACAAAAATATGTTGAAAGTAAATAAGAGGAGAAGATTAAGCCACGATGTTCTCAGTTTATTATGCTAAAGAGGGCCCAACCAATGACCACTGCTATCTAATCTGACAATCGGTCATCGGTGCCACCTGTACGGTTACCAGTATGCTGAAAATCCGAATGTCATGTGCTTTAACTAGGGTTTGTTTTTGCCTCTTCAACCACATTACTTGATGACATGGCGTCCACATAATCATTGAATTTATCTTCACATTTGCCGATATCAATTATACGATCGGTCCCTTTTTACCTTGCGATGGCACGTGGCGACCATGCAGATGAAGGACAGAATGCGACCGAATAAGCGTATCGATCTAACGGCTACGAGAAGCCATCGCAAGGTGAATGGTTTTCATCACTAAAGAAAATGAAGGAGCTCACCATTTGTGATTCAGGAAAGAATGAGTAGAGCATTTGTTTGCCTTCATTAGTCATCCACGTGGCGTGATCTTATGGAAGGGGTGATGAGGGAATATTGAAAATAAAACAAAACCTAGGGGTTTAGATTAGGTGAAGACAATGAAAGGATATCTGCAAATGGCAAAAAAGGAAGAAAAGCAAACGCTACGTGGCAATATATCTTTGTGCTTTGCAGTTTAAAGTTAAGACAGCTGATAACACTGTCATATTTTTCTCCTATCAATTTCCTCATTTTCGCTGCCGTCCTCTTCTTAGAAAACCAAAGCTAAAGTCTTCCGGGAGAGAAAAAAGAGTGAACATGGTGGTGCCCGACAATGGAGGCGGAGAAGGGTTTAGTTTGAGTTACACGACAGCGTTTTCGAAGAAAATGGGTGACGAACCAGAGTACGAGGATCAAAATGAGTCAGGTATCGTAGTAGTCAAGGAAGAGCCGGTAGTTGAATCGAACGGCGAAGATTATCACGAAGCTTTGTTGAAATCGGTTAAAGAGGAAGAAGAGGATGAAGAAACGGAAGTCATTTATGATATGATGAACGGATGGGGTCTTGACAACGTAGTCTGTAATAACGGGTCGCCTTCTTTCAGTTCATCTGACCATTTGCCAAAACCAATGAAAGGATTAAACGAGTCGGGTCCTCCACCGTTTCTGAGAAAAACATATGAGATGGTTGAGGATCCAGAAACCGACCCGATTGTTTCCTGGAGCTTTAACTGCAACAGCTTCATTGTTTGGGATTCTCATAAGTTCTCCGAAGATCTCCTTCCCAAATACTTCAAGCACAAGAACTTTTCCAGCTTCATCCGCCAACTAAACACTTATGTAAGCATTGATAATTTCGTTTTTTTCTATCAAAATTTCTGTCATTTTCCCCTAATATTTAGTGTTTGTTTTTCTGGGTTGTTTTAGGGGTTTAGAAAGATTGATTCAGATAGATGGGAATTTGCAAATGAAGGGTTTCAAGGAGGAAAGAAGCATTTGCTGAAAAACATTAAGAGGAGAAGCAGATATAATAACAGGCAACAAGGAGGAGTTTTTTGTGTTAACAATTCAACAAGTAATATTGGGTTGGAAGCTGAGGTGGAGATATTGAAGAAAGATAGGAGCGTACTGCAATTGGAACTTTTGAAACTGAGGCAACAACAAGAAGAATCAAATCATCAGCTGAGTACTGTTCACGAGCGAATTCGTTTCGCCGAGTGTAGGCAGCAACAAATGTGCAATTTCTTTGCTAAAATAGCTAAACATCCCAATTTTCTTCAACGATTGACTCAGAAAAGGAAGCAGCAAAAGAAAGAACTGATTGATGAAGCTGAGTTTAACGTGAGCAAGAAGAGAAAATTGTTGGAGACACCAATCACAAAGAGGTTGTCTGTGGATATGGAACCTGATGAGTTGTCAAAGCTTTTGCCGGCAGATCATACGGAGAACAAGGATGAGGATGATGGATTGTATTGTTCCCTTCAAGATCAAAAGAGCAGTGCAGCAGAATTGTGCAATGTTTATGATATTATGTCGGAAAACCTACTAGGGGAAAGCTCAGGCGTTGAGAATGTAACAAACGAAGATCTTTCGTCAGTGAATGATTCCAAGATTTATCTTGAGCTGGAGGATTTAATCAGCTGGAAGCAATGTAGCCGGGGTGGTTTTGCAAGTGAGTTGGTGGAGCAAACTGGCTGTGTCTGACTCAGACCTGGACTCCTTAACTTAAATTACATAGTAACTTTCTGTATTGCCCTTTTTCTTTCTTTCACTGCTGTTGTCTTCTTTTCGGTTGTAAAATTTTCTATACTGCACACGGTAAATACAAAACAATCTACTCTTTTTTAACTTCTACACTCATTTTTTACTAGTTTGGGTTATACATAATTTAGTGACAAGATTGCAAAGCTTTCATCGTGAGTTGATGATGATTCTTGGCTAGAAGGTTCAAAGTTGCAAATCATGTCATCTAAAAGTAATGGCACGTGTTAGACAATGGCGATTATTAGCCATTTTAGGTCAGGTTTGTCCTCTTTTCGGATGTCACTACTAAAGTGGTTCCACTTAATTTGTTGCCCAAACAAGCAAATCCAAAAATTATTTAAGACCCCACCAAAAATCACGAACCCCAACTGGACCTATGATTTCAGCCACCCCTATTATTTACTTTGTTTAAAAAAATTATTTGAATTGAATTATTTAAGTTATTTAAATTATTGAAATAATTTTAAAAAATATTGTTGAAAAGTATAATCCCTTTCAATATGAATGGCGGGCTTTGAGCTTTAGAGACGGAAGTGGAAACTGTGGGGCTATTATGCCCATTATTTGTTGGTCCAACATGCCCTCGAAACAGATGTTTATTCCTTTGGGGTTTTGGTGTAAAGGATTTGCTATACACATGCACGAAATAAGCAAATAGCCACCCAACTTAATTTAATAATGAACAAATTCAAGTAGGTGGAAACCATGGCTTGAGTTGTTCTCTTTTGAATTTTCTTTTTTCTTTGTTACTTTTGAGTTATGGGTTGGTTTTCAATTACGAGGAGTCAAATAATGACAATAATTCCCAAACGAGTAAAGCAAAATAATTTGACAAAACGTCAAATTTCAGATTATGACGAAGAAATTAACCTAAAAATAATGTTGAAAACATACAATATTGAAAAGTGTGCGCGAAATTTAAAGTAAAACGATGAATTTAATTATTAAGATCGTAAGAATAATAAAATTTTAATTTTCTTCCTTTTTGGAATGACACACGATTTATTTTAAAGTAATTACCAAAATAAAATTCAAGTAGAACCAAATTCTAAAATAGATGCTAGGACCTAGGAGGGTGGGAATGTGGATTTTCTAGAATTTCGTCTTTTGATTTGTAATTCCCTCGTGAATTAAATGATATTTTTGGAAAGGAACAGGTTGAGAAGTGGCAAGTACTCAATGTTAAAAGCCGCTTTAGTTTATCAGCTAATACTTCATGGAGGCGGCTATTTTACAGTTACTCAACGTCATTGTATTCAGAAATTCTCCATTTTCAAATATTTTATAATTTTCCATTTTTACTATATAATCATTTAAATTTGATATTGTCACAATCGATTAATATGAAATTTATTTATTATTATATTGATATTTTTTGTTTTGAATTCTTATATTTAATTTGGATACGTAATTTACATTCGTAAATAATTTTTAGACGTCGCTCAACTTTAATTTATGATTTAACAATATCTTTTAATAATTTGTTCTTATTTTGTATTCCATAATATCGTGATTTAAAAAGTTAAAAGGTGGAAGATTCAATTTGGAAATTGGTGTGGTGTAAATTTATCCCGCCTAAAATATCGGCGTTTGTTTGGAAAGCTGTTCATAAACGGATTCTGATTACTACAGAGCTGGAAAAAAGAGGAGTCCCTTGTATTGATCAATCTCTTTGTATTTTCTACAATATGGAAAAAAGAAACAGTTAATCATGTTTTGTGTCATTGCGAGGTGGTTAGGCAAGTGTGGCAAAGATGGTGTTGCTTGTGGAAGGTAAACTTAGTGCTACCGTTGAATGTTAAAGGATTGTTACAGGTATGGTTTAATCAAAAAATTAGGAAAAAGGTTAGACATATTTGACAAGTGGGATTTTTCGGTATAATCTGAAAAATATGGTTGTCTAGAAATAATTCAAGGTTCAATGGCTGCACTTTTTCGGTGGATCAAATTTTCGATGATGTTTTGCTGCAGATTGGTGTATGGGCGCATTTTCAATGGCCGTTACTAATCCCTGTTGTTCAAGATTTCGTTCGAAGTCCTGAATCCATCATTATTGGTCACTGGTAGCATAATTAGAGCCGATGCCTTGATTATTTTGCTGTATTTCTAGTGCAGATTATTATAGTACTGTGCGGTATGGGGTTTTTAAACGGTTCTGTCCTGTTAGTTTAGGTTCGATGTTTGCTTTCCTTTCCTTAGCTAGTGGCTGAAGCTTAGAAAAGCTTAGTGAACTATGGATGTATGCAACTACTGCTTTGTTTTTGCTCTTGGGTTCCAGTGTATGGCTAGGCGTTCGAATATCGTTTGGCTAGTACGATTTTTATACTAGCTATGTATTGTTTCTTTGTTCCACACTATCTCAAGGCACATTCTTTTTTCTCAATTTAGATTTAGGGAGATTTTTTAACGAGGTCTTTGAGGTAATACACTTTGTAAAAACTTAATACAAAATACCTTCTTTCAAAAAAAATATTACATTCATCGCCAAAGTCTATGGTCAATGCTAATGGCTAATCTTTAATGTTACATTATCGTGGTCGTAGAGAGCAACTTCGTGGCATCTTCTCATTAAAGTCCACCCCATCCACTTGAAAGTGACATTTTATTTGATTACTGGTAATGTGGTACACATTTAATACTTGAAGTATTGCATAATTAATAAATACTAAATTAAACGTTAATAAATTATAAGATTTTTCAACCTAGTCACAATTTAATGATTATTGTTCTTTAAAAAAAGTTATATGTATTACACACTTTATGTTTAAAAATTATTGATATTAGCACGGATCAAGTATTTTAATAGTTAGGGAATTTATTGTTATATATTAAAGTTTTAAATTCAAACAACATGTATGTATAAATATAAATATTCATTAAAATATAATATTTCCATTTTTACAACGACGTTTGATAATTATCAATTATTTGTACATAGATTGGAGTATTATAAAATAGTATAATATTTGTTATTTGATTATTTATATACATTAATGAGTTGCAGAACTATATTTTTACCATATGAAATGAAATTCGAAGCTTATGAAAAAGTATCTTACTGGAATTTTCTAATTATATTATTTATATATACACAACTAGTACATTATATGTTTAGAAAAATTATATGTTTGGATATTAGTTTAGTTAACATTATTATTATCCTTATAATTTAGAGATTAAGGGTTGGATTTTAAACATGTCTTAGAATGTAACTGTGAAGGATACACATGAAGATGATCAGTCAAAGTACACAAGCTATGAAGTGTTTCTTAGAAACGTCTGAAATAATGGTTAAATTTTTTTATATTGTTATTTTTAATTTCTAATTAATTAAAACTAGAATAGCGCTATATTATTTTAATATAATTTTATTTTGAGTTACGGTGACTTTTTACTATTTAATTTAAAATATAAGAATATTTAATAAGACATATGTTTAATCTAATTAACCGCGAACTGTTATTTTTAATATTCATATGTACCAAAAAGAATAGTACAAGAGAAAAATGGAAAAAAAATATTCAAAAGGACACTGAAATACCGAATCGTAAATGTAATTCGTAAAATGTGAAGTTCAAAACCCAATCAATTCAAAGTCTAATTGGCTATATTGATTTTTGACCCATTTTTTTATAATTTTTTTCTGATAATATGAAATAAGAGAATATAATTATATGTATAATTATATTTTTATTTTAAATATTACACAATAATCTTTTAAAATTTTATAAGTTTAATTATACGTATAATGTTAACATTTATTTTCAACGTTTAATTGAAAAATAATATAATTTATATTTTTTAAACACTTTTAACTCTAACGTATCGTTTTATGTTGATTAACTAATGATACTGACGTTATATGTGTTCAAATTAATTATTTAACCAAATTTACAAATAAATTTTGATATTATACTTTAATTATATTATATTTATGCATTGATTTTCCTTAAAGAAAAACATTATCCATTTTAACAATCAAACTGTGTATAGCAGCCATGCTAGCTATTATCCTCTTGTTTTAGGTTTAAATTAATAACTAATCAAATAATACACATTACACGTTTAGTAAATAAAAATACACTATTATTTTCTTAAAAAAACATATCCATTCCATGTTAAAATCCCATCTATGATAATTTAAAATTATGTCATATTATTGTTCATTTAGTTATATTGTAGTGATTATAAGAAAATATTTATTTAAATTTTTTTTAATAATTTGATAATAAATATTCAATCACTTTTAAATATTGGTATTCGAATTCGAAACTTCTAAGGCAACAACCAAAAATGAATTTACATATAAATGATTAATATAGAAACTCCACCTTAATAATTAAGACCGACTTGGGAATGGAATTCGAAATTTCTAAGGGCAACAACCAAACATGAATTTATATATAAATGATTAATATAGAAACTCCACCTTAATAATTAAGGCCGACTTGGGAATGCTTACGGTAATAAAAAAAAAATCATCTCATAAACAATATTAAACACCCAAAAATTGATTTAAAATCATGGTTGAAAAAATTATTTTCAATCTTATATTAAAAGTTTAAATTTCTAATTTTTATTATAGAAAATCCTTTTTGGTGAAATTATATTTTTATCTTTAAATACTAATTTTTAATTTACAACACAATGTCTAAAATAATTATTATTTTTTCAAAATCATTTTTTAACAATAATCTCAAACCGTTAAATTATATACTACGCATTTTAAAAACACTTTGTAAAATAACTTTTTACAATATTTTTATATCACAATTCAAAAGTAATACTAAACTGGGTATATATTAAAATTATTTTTTTAATATATTTCAAAATAAGGTAAAGTACAAAAATAGTCCCATGACTATATGATATTTTTTTTGTTGAGTCCTTTAGCTATTAAAAGTTACAAAATGGTCTCCTAATTATAAGGTATTATTTTATTGAGTCATTTGACTATTAATAA